CCGCTCGCAAACATTGTTGGTAGAGAGCCGGCGTCTTCGTCGCGTCGAGAAAAGAATGTCCAGAGGAGCGTACAAGTCTCGGCGACTGTGACCGAGGCTTTTATCTGTGTGCACCTACATAAGGAAACGTTTACTCCGTTCCATTGACAGAACGAGCCAGTTCCAGTGACCTTGGCTGTACCGATCGCCCGAACGAACGGAAACTGACCAGTGCTCGTGCGGACACTAGGCAACGTTTTGCAGCATCAAACAAACCGTTCAACAAACAAAAGAGCAGAATACTCACAATAAACGACGCTAACTATCCAAGTAGAAAATCGCGACATCCATCGGATGCTTCAGAAGAATTCCATAGTGGGAAATAGGAACTAAAACTTGAGGGTGTTTTCTGGTAGGAACGCTCGAGCGCTCCCGAATGATTCGCGATGGGCTTCCTCACCATTTCTAGAGATTCGCGTCATGCGCTCTGGGATACGGGTCTGCATGGAGGATGATCTTCTTCAACGAGAGAACTACCGATCCTCCAAAGATCGTTGGCGTGCCGCTGTAGTCCTTTCGCCGTTCACGCGGAGCAGAATGTATCCCCGGTTCCCAATATAAAACGTGGGCTCCGGTAATCTCGGCTCCGGACGGCGTTCACCGTCGCGTCGTCGCTGTATTCGATTAGAAGTCAGTGGTCATGTAACGTCTTAGACCCGCTGTGGTTGTTGGAGCGATCATCGGCTTCGACGAAGTAAATTCTCTGTGAGTCGGTCTGTTGGCTCACAGGATTTAGCTCCGTAGGATTCCACATTAGCTCGCGAGCTTTCGTGCCGAGTGAACGGACTCCGGAATCCTACCCTTTCCGAGCTCGAGTCTCCCCAATGATCGTCGAGCTCCGTGAGCAATTCTCAGATTCGGCGAGAATTGACATCAGTCATTCATCCTTAGCCGAGCGGGGCATTCTACTCCATTCGATGATGAGCTGGGACTAGGCCCTCCGAATTTGTCTAGAAGTTCTTCCAGGCGTGCTGCTCCGGAATTCAATCTACTCGAATTCTGTCACGTGCGTAAATTCCACCGTGAGATCCCCATTCGAGTTGAAATATAGCTCGATGTGGGACAATTCGGGGCGGAAGGTGATTTCATTCGAAACGATTCTCAGCTCTCGAGGGTTCGCCATTCCCGAGCAACAATGCTGTCGTGTAGATCTATTTAAGCAAGCAACGCTTCCCGGGACTCGTAGATATATGTACCACACATGTTCTCTTCGAGTGCCGGTCTCTGAGGTCGTCTCAATATTAGTCCAGTCGAGCTGACCGCGGTTCTCGGGGCCCCGCTGTACCTGTTTCTCTTTCGAACTATACGCCCGTAGCTGTTATTTGGGCAGGCGAGAAGACAGAGTCAATCTGTAGCCGGAGACTGTCTCTAAGCCAGGGGCATTGATCCTGATGAAAGGCCGAGGAGCCATGGGGCAAATTAATGATGAGCTGCCACGCGAGCCGTGGTTCGTTCGCCCGAATGGACGCCGGCGAATCGGTAGCTGGATCCTCCGAACGATTTTCTTGTGCTTCGTTCGGGTGAGGTTACTACCCATGCTTCTGTGTTTCTCTGGAAAAAGTCCCTCCATCGGCTCGCCGCCGCATAGAATACTTCGACTCACGCGTCTCATGTTCTCGCCTACGTGTTATCGTGTGTTCGGGTGCGAGAGGTCTCATTCGGACTTTGTCTGACCTGAGCCCTGTGGGTCTCCGTATTCTCGATTCTCAAAAATAATCGGTGAGGGAATAACTAACCTACGCCGAAATGGACGAGGATTCGACGGTCGATACCGCTTTGAGAGAGTCGCGATCGAAGGTGAGCTCCCCGTCGAGGCATTCGGCGAGTCACTTATCTCAGACAAACAGATGGAATTATATGAACCTGGTCAGGGAAACTGCTCGATCTCGTCGAAGTATCACTTGAAGAGTTGTCCATCTTCTTTCCGAAGTTGTCTTTGGACGATGTTGCTCGAGCGTCGTCCTAAGGACTGCGCTATGACGACCACGGCTATCGGAGCTGGTCTGATTTATTTCTGGTGATAATCGTAGTAATAATCAAAGGCCTGGGGCGGCGCAACGAGGTGAAGTCGTCAGACGCAAGACGTCGTCGGACGAAAAAACGGGAAACCGAGTTACTCTAGCGCACTGAACCCAACGTCAGTCGGCGGAGCGACCAGCGACCGACCCAACGACCGAGCGAGCGAGCGTCCGTCCGAGCGATCGCGCAGACAGAAACGCAGACGGTCAGCTCGTCTGCCATTTCTGGCGAAGTGTTGGCGAGAAAACGCTGGAGTTTGTACCGGGGTCGACTCCGACCCGAGTTGGTCCGAACGCTACCAGCGTTCCGCTTTCGGAGCGGCAACGTGGTGTTCGTGCCACGTGGGAAGACATGTTTCGCTTATTTCGGCTCGGACAGGTTCTTGTTTTTCCCTTGCCTGCCGATCCTCGGTAGGAGCTGCGACGACGATCGACATGTAGTCTCGAAATAATTGCGTTCCGATGGGAGGTGACTTTGTATACGGACTTCGCTCCGCGTATGGCGCTCGTAGCAATCCGACCGAGTGGTCAAGCAATGCGGTTTCGATATGGACGACGAGCTGCGGCGAGCCTTCGAAAACAACGTGTGGCATCATCCCATATGACGTCATACGCCTGACCGAATGCGGCTCGCCTGAGAATTGAAGTAAAAGTCGAATTTAGTGGAGAGATTTTCCCTGCTCATCAAATTCAAGGTTGAGCAATAATGAGCTAGTTCAGGAACTCCTCGACTGGAATCACGACCACTTCGGATACGAAGTGCGGTGATGTCCGTGAGCAGCGGAACATACGCCTTGGTGCCGGCTCTTTTTCTGGAGGAGAGAAAAACTCACGGAACAGGACTTGAAATGTTCGGTCTATCGTGTTGTGATCGAGGGTCTCTCCAAGCCGTTGTGGTAATCAGCCGAGTCGACAACGGTAGGAGTTTCCACCGTCGACTACGGCAACTGTGCCAGGTAGAATATTCCGCTACTGATTCCGTCGGATGATCTTCCTCATCGATCCTGTTCTGCTCCCCCTCCCCCGTGATAACGATACAAGGAATCGCGATGATCCGCGAATATCGTTCGAGAATCGAATCTCACAGTTCGCGGGTATCTGCGGGGCAGCGTGATGGTAATATAACTTCACGGTTCCGAGCGGAGCCGGTGGCGAGAATGTGTCGACGTCCCACCAGTGACTAAAGAGGACAAAAACTGGGAGGGAGTCCCTGAGTCGACAGCTTTTTTTTTCATTTCCTCGAGGTATCGGGATTGTCAAGGGAGACAGAGCGACTAGTGTGCGGACTGGATGCAAAAATATGCGAGTCCCATTGGATTTAGTATTTTCCGCGGCTTATTATGAGACAGGTGGGATTTCCGCCATAGGAACGGCTGACATTTTTCTTCTTCTGCCGCCTGTTGTGTTCTGTCCACAGTCACAAGTCAGATGCTGTGGCCACTGACGACGACGATGGCTGCGGATAGCATCGTCGTGTTTCGGCCGCGGTTTGACCTTACCGACGTCAAAAACACTGCCGAACAGATACTGAAGACAGGGCGTTCAGCAAATACATTCGTATCCGTTCTACACAGAAGAAAGCTGAAAGTGAGATCTACGTCCTTTTGTCAATGGCAAGCCGTACTTGGCATGCTTCGTCTGAGGCCAACGACGCTGACGCCTCGTGGTAGTCCCGATTATCATCGGCGTCGTCGTCGTCGAGGCGACCGAAGCGTTCGAAGGAGCCCCTCGCTACCCCGATCGTCACCGAATGTTGATCAGACTAAACGCTGATGATGAAGTATCCTGCATAGACTATGGTATGAAGAACAGATTGGACGACTCTTGGTCTGTCGTTTGCCCGCTCGAACAAAGCGTTGGTTTACGTTGTCGGGCGCCCTTGTCGCATGACAACGTGTCGTGCTCGCGATCTGACGAAAGCAGATTATAAGAATCATCCACGGTGTTTACATCATTCATCTCGTTTCGCGACATGTTCGATACGACTTCGGGCCTTGTCTTTCGGGGCGAACATGCATCGTGTATGCATGAGAGTGATGGGGGACTCACGCGACTTCACCGTTAGGTCATCGCCAAAGCTCGCACCTAAATACGGTCCGGAGTAGATGAGATAAGATGCGCTGAATGCCGCATATTGCATAAATAGAACACATATCACCTCATGAGGTCAACCAGCGGATTAAAGCGTCGTCGTGAGCGCTGGCGGAAGGAAATTGTTGAGCAAAGCGGATAGTGGTCGCAGAATCCCCACGGAGGGTTCTCAGAAAGTAATTAGCACCGCGAACTGAGACAAGGTGACTCCTTCGGCTTCTGGACTGTAAGGCACGAGTCGTCACTGGGAAGAATTCTGGCTTACGACAGAGGCGGCGGCTTGATAGATCGAATGCTTTTCGACGTATGACAGCTCCTCGTATCGTAACAGCTGCAACGACGATAGGGATGATACGGAGCGATAAACACGGGCTAAGGGAAGCTGCTGGAGGGTTTCCTGGGACGCTCACTGGATGACTTGAGTGGATATGCGAATCGATGACCGACGTGAGGGTGTGAATTGTGCTCACTCGAAAACGAGCGACTGACTCTGTTTATTTCATAATTGGCCGCATTAGATAGGGGAAATAATCAGCTCTGCGACTTCGTATTCAAGGATTCTGGGATCAGGAGCTGTTTCGGTGCAGGAGGTTCATAAATAAGTACCGAAAAACATCGGAATGCGCGACGCCCCGAGAAATATCACGATATAGGGAATTTTACGCTTGGAAACCAAATTCGGAATGTTTGAGATAAGAGCAGACGAGTGGAATAGATACTGGGATAGGTAGAAGGGGTAAAGGTCCAAAATCAGCTGGAAGTCTGAGGAAGTTATTTCCTCGTGAAGTCGTCGCCGGGAGTACAACTCCTCGAGCACGAGTTTCCCACTAAGTGATTCCATTTCGTTTTCAGGACATGTCCGGGCGCGGAGACTGCAGCTCAGGTGGTGGTGGGGTTGGAGTGACACTCGAACAACAACTGGAGAATCTCTCGCTGAGTTCATCAACGTGGACCTCGCCCTTGGGTAGTGGACCATCCCATGGAGTTCCCGTGGTGTCGGCCACTAACAACCATGACTCGTTGGGCGATGCAGGATTGGGCGTCAAGATGGCGGAATACGTCCTGGGTGAGTGGAACTCCTCGCACAATCCTCACCTAGCCCCAAATCACGCGAATGGTTCCACTACACACAACGGCATCAGCAGCCCAAATAAGGAATACTGTAAGTGCATCAAACACATACTTAGACGACAGAGAACCACCTAAAGAGAAGAGAGAAAAACAGCAGCAGACAATTGACGCCGTTGAAGGACTTAGCGAATGCGGGATCGATTTCGAACGGGAAACACCGGGTCCAACTTACTCTCGGCGGGTCCGAGGGCCTCATCTCCGGCCCTCCATCTTTTGCCCTCTATACCTCGACACTGCGAGTTTTCGCGTTTAAATATCGATTGCTATTTTTCTGCGATCCGCGATCTGCGCACAACTCCGATAGTCCTCCGTAACATGTGACGCATTTGATTTCTAACCGGTACGCTTTGAGCCTTTCGCATGGTACGTTTTTTGTTCTCGGGAAGACTCCTCCGAGGCGCTAGGAGCTCGGGTGCCCACACTGCGGAATTCCCGACTTGATTGCGCAGATCTGGTAGAGCATTCGCATCGTCTCGCGACGACGATTAGCATCGGGAGGTTTTCAAGGAACTCCGTCCATTGAAGAGAATCATTGATTTTTTCTCGAGGAGTCCCTCAAAACCGCGCTCGCCTACCGATCCGAAGCGATCCGGATCTCTTGCAAGAAATCGGCCTCCTGGAAGGCTCGCAGGTCGTATGATCTCCAAGCCTCAGGACATCCGATGTCGCGCGCTTGACCGATGGAAGGCGAATCCCTGATCACCCGTCAGCAAACGCCTTGCTCACCTCTCGTGAGAAAGATGCCATGATCCCCGGGACGCGTTGATTACTCGCGAGCCGGAGTTGAAGCGAGCCGAGAGCTTTTGGAGTTAACCTCTGGAGCAGAGAGCCGTCTCCTAGTATTCCCGTCCCATGACTGAAATTGATAGTCTCTGACCATCTGCGAGGACAGGAACTAGAGCATGAGCATTGAGGTCGTCCCGTTCCAAGTTTTCGATGCTTCTTCCTCGAGAAGTTTCGGGGGCCGAGCCGCCAGTCGTCGTTACCTCCATCGATCGTGTTTATGACAATCGTTCCGAACTGGGTCACATCGCTGCGAAGCGTGGTCCGGTAGCTTCGATTCTCGCTTGTTTTATTCTGGTCCTGATACCGTCGATTATTATCAGACATGAAGTAACTCTTTGTCGCAATTACTCGGCTAGGGCTTACGGCACGATGCGAGCTGCCACCGCGCTGCTGACGTGTTGATTGGCTGGCGGACGACAGGGGGACGAGAATGCGGAGGGTCTACGAGCTATCGAATGGACACCGCGCATACGGAGCGATTCCGTTCGTTCCTCGCGTAGTCGATCGCATTTTTTTTCTCAAAAGACTCGTCCTTGTCGCGCGTACCGCGGGCTCCGAGCCATGGAGATGATGATCGGTCCGCTCACTCCATCCGAAGAGCCGGTCTGCTCCCCCCTGGAAGTATTCGGACCAGAAATCTGCCTGAGCATATCCGAGGCCCTCGAGGCTCGCCATATGAGAAAGAAATCGAGCCCTGATCGAGTCTGATTCGCCCTTCCTCATTGCATAGAACCAGCTCTGGAGCATTGCCTCCACCCTACCCGTTCCCATTTTCCGAAGATCTTCACATCCTTCGTCGTCATGTCTGCTGTCATGTTCATCCGCATCGAGTTCGACCGGATCTCAGTCCATTTTTACGATCTGATGTAATTTCTTGTTCACAGGCACACCCCCTAAAGACTCTCCTCTGAGTCTTCGAAGCAGCGAGAATCTGGACGGGTCGGAATTCTCGATCGCGACCGCTTTCCAACAAGCGGCGAATTGCGCAGCCAACGGACCCCAGAACTACATGTATGGGAACGTTGCTGGAGAGCAGGCCGTCATGTCGAACCGAAATTCGTCGACTCCAGGCGGAGCCATGAGCGCACAGCAACAGCAGCAGCAACAACAACAGCAACAGCAGCAAGGCGGTCATGTGCAGAACGCGATTCTGACCAATTTCCTCACCAACTACTTCACCACAATGACGCCTCCGCCGAATCCTCATGGACACCCTCACCATACAAACGGTAATCCGACGTTTTTTCCCCGTCATTGAGTTTCTCGTTGGAGTTACCGACCTCGTCACTCGTTTTCAATCAGAGCTGATACCTCCGCTTGAGTTTCCATGTAATTGCGATTTTTTGTTGGGCGCCTCTTGTCGGGGGCTTCCCCCTCCTCCACACGGAGTCGAGGGCTTCCCCCCTCCGTATTTCATTCCGTCGAACTCCACATAGGGTCTCTGGAAGTGTCGCGAAACTTCGAAGTCTTGTTCGCTTCGAATCTCAACGTGTGCCGAGTTCCAGCCGGTCCCTTGTTTGCTTCTCGGCTCCGGACCGACGATGCGGGAAGGTATCTGAGTGAGTCTCTCGAATGCTGGGCCGGCTGGCTGGCGAGCGTCGCGGCTATTCTACGCATCCTTCCGCGTGTAGTGTCTCGGCATACAGATCGGGTCGAAGGGTGGGCCCTCGAGCTCACGAATGTCGCCGCGGGCAGCATACGCTCAATGTTGTATGATGATGACCTCCGAATTTCTCGGACGGCCATCCTTCGAGGCCGTCGCCTGAGAGGAGATGGAATTCCGTCGCCGCGTCTCTCGGCGTTTCTCCCATTGGAAGCATCCCGGATGCCCATTTCAAACTTGCTACCGAACGTCCCCCCATTCCTCATATGGCACGGAGGAGTATCATCGAGGAACGACTCAGGTTTCGGCATTGCTCTCACGTTCCAAACAACTGAGAGATGTTTCGCGACGCTCTCTCACACGCCCGGTGCCTCCAAATGAGCAGCGCGGCGGCCTGAGCGGGAGGAGATTTCCCGAAGAACCCCACGCGCTTTGGTTTCCGGGACGGGGAAAGAAATAAGGCCAGGATAAAATGACCGAGTGAGGAAACACGACGCAGCGTGCCCCCATGAAAATCTTGTGTTCGAAACCGGCCTTGAACTCTGAGGTGCGGGAGTCGCATCGCAGTCGTGTGTTGCCGTCAACCTACGACGATTCGCGCCTGAAGCTTCTCGCTCTGACAAGGACCTGAAAGTTCAGACCAGATGCTCACAACGGAGGGCTTCGCTCTAATGCCGAAAGCCACCTCGGGAGGCTGGACCGAGGACGCTTCAGGAGGACGGAGGAGATAGCGCGTTGGGCGCCTGACTGAGCGAGTGAATGAATTAGTTTGTACTCGACGAACTATTCTTCCATGGTGATAGATTCTAGGAATGACGCGGAGCGACAATCGACGCTCTCGCGTAATCTCGCAGATCACCGACTCACGGATGCTTGTGGGAAACTCCAAAACACTTTGAGGACAGTCATGACATCGCATGCTACCGAAGGCGGACGAGTCGGAAGCTCCTTGGAATGAAGAATTACCGAGATTCCGAATCGCTATTCTCGAGTCCGTAGTCAGCTGCGCTCATGCTGCTGCCATTCGTCGCCGTTGCGATTGTAGACTACAGACCGGATACCGATATTAGCGAAAATGGGCGTACGGCTCGATTCGACGTGCACTGATTGTGACATCGTTTCTACGTTAAAGAGTTTTTTCAACTATTGCTGCCGTTGACGTCGAGAATCGTTTGATCAGATCCGAGGGAAGGAAGCAGACGTCTATTATTGTAATTGAGTGATTCATTTGACGGTGGCTCGGTCGATAGAGCTGCCCGACTGGATAGCTGTTCGCTCCGAGGCCGCACTTCCTCCCTACGGCGAATCGTACGCAAGTTCCGACTTCTCCGATGACGCGACGGAATGGGAGAACCGAAATTTAGAGGGGAAGAAAGGAATGAATTATCCTGCCTATAGGATCGGGAAAAAGAAATCTAAGAATTTGGTGTCAGATTGCGCAATATAACCTCGATAAATCCAAAAAAAAATTTTGAAAGTCTGCTCGCACATGCAGTCAAGTCGAGAATCGTCCTGGGTTCAAGCCTTCATTGCTTTCAGGTATGCACACACCTCCGTACAATATGTACCCGCCTCCCCACAATTATATGCCACCCGATTCGATGCGATTCGGATGGGCAGCGGCCCCGCCCTCGATGGGTCAGAATAACTACTATGAGATCAGGTCAGTTTGTCGCTCTATTTTCTAATCGTTATATTGTAGCCTCGAATGGGTCCCGACGGGCGGTTCCATGCCGACGTCCGGATCGATACATGGACCATACTTGCTCCGACAGATTGGCGTACGGATAGCTTGTACAGTTTAGGAGCGTCGACCCGGTAGTTTGATATCCACAGTCTTGTGTCGTCATTGGGTTCTAGTGGCCTCTGGACCAAGGTATCCTGAATCCTGAGCCGTGGGTTGTAAGCCATTCCGCTGGGGTTCACTTGGTGGGGTGCCTGACTGGCGATTGCGGAGCAGAGTCAATTCCGTATCGACGCTGATTACGAGCGATACCAAGATCAAAATCGATCGTATCGATTTGGATTCATGAACGAGAGTCTGTGTATTCCTGAAGAATCCCGAGAAGAAAGCTCGGGGAAATATACGAATGTCGATTGGCGAGTCTCGCTCTCTCTGCAAATCGGCTCCGACAATAATTCATCAGGACATGACTGAGAGCACGAAAGAGCCTCGCTCAGAATCTACCTGCGAGGAGTACGTTATCTGTCTAAGTGGCTGACGAAAGCGAGCCCGATTGTAGCTATTGCGACGAGACTTCCTTCGTATTCGTACATCGAGAATCGTTTTTACGAGTCGTTTATAGCTGAAGAAGGGTAATCAACTCGTCGGCTACATCACTAAACTAGTTCGAGACACCAAATTACCGCCTAGGAGATCATAAGCGGCACAGGCCGGCGTACCCCTTGAGGCGTTTCTACTTTCATTATTCCGCTCTTGATATACCTTGTGACGTGGATGTTCCTTCTTTTCTTTCATGCGACACCACAGAGGCCGAGCTGGAATGAATCCCGGTATGGCTGCCGGAGTTGGCGGTTGGTCCTCTCCTGGAAGGATGACTTCTCCGAAGGTTTCCGTGACCAAGAAGAAAAACGAAACGAAACTCATCAAAGAGTTCAAAAGCAATCGCTACCCTGACCTCGAACTCCGAGATCTTTGCGGACACGTCATCGAATTCGCACAAGATCAACAAGGTGGAGATCTCTCTTTAAAAAATTCCTCTCGAAGAAAACTTTTTATTGGAGCCTCAGGGGAACTTCACGGAGGATGGCTGCGCTAACGCTGATGTGAATCTCTCGGCAGGATCTCGCTTCATTCAACACAAACTTGAATCGGCTACCCCTTCGGAGAAGCAGATGATCTTCAATGAAATCTTCACGTGGGTCTACTCACTGATGACACACGAATTCGGCAACTATGTCGTGCAGAAGCTGTTCGACTTCGGTTCGGAAGAGCAGAAGTTGGCTCTCGCGGGTAAAATGACAGGACACATCGTGAACCTCACCATGCATATCTACGGTTGCCGAGTAATGCAGAAGGCCCTCGTGTCACTCCCGACAGAAGTGCGCAAGAAGCTGATTGACGAATTGCGCAACCATGTTGTGCAATGCGCCAATGACGAAAATGGCAACCATGTCATGCAGAAATGTTTCGAGACCATCGAGCCAGGGTGAGTTGCTCTCCTTTGAATATGCTCGATGCCGATCTCGACGACGTATATGACGGCACAAATGCCCCGACAATCCTCGGGGAATCCCGAATTCAACTCAAAGCCCGATACCGATGCTTGTTTCAGATATCTACAGTTCATCGTAGACGAATGCATCGGCAAAGTGCGTCAGCTGTGCTCGCACAGTTACGCCTGTCGCGTGATCCAACGTCTTTTGGAGTACTGCAAATTCGAGCAGTCGATTCCGATCCTTCAAGAAATTCACGCGAACACGCTCGAGCTGGCTCAAGACCAATACGGCAACTATGTCATTCAGTACATCTTGCAGCACGGTCTGCCCAAGGACAAGTCGGCCATCATCCAGGCAATTCGCGGTACTTTTTTCTGTCACCTATGTATCTCGTCTAGCTATCGTAGATCATCGCCGGGAGACGACCCGTAGCTAGTGACAGGCCTCCTCGCACTGGATGCCATGCTGGAGGTTTTTTTAATTGACGATAGCTATGCGCGACCTTGATTGACACGGGATACTCCGGTTACAGGCAATGTGGTCGCTCTGTCATGTCACAAGTATGCCTCGAACGTGATGGAAAAGTGCGTAACCCACGGATCTTCCCTTGAGAGGACTGTTTTGATGGAAGAAGTCTGCGCCACGAAAGACGGCATCTTCAAAATGATGAAGGATCCCTTCGCGAACTATGTGGTATGGTGATGAGCAGCTTTCTCTCAGAGACATGATGATGCGCGGAACTACCGTACGCGTCGTTCTCAACGACGCTCACGGTAGCTCCACAACTCTACAGGCTCGATTGGAGTCTGTAGCGTCCAGATTTGTATCCCGACCCCACTCGTAAAGGAATTCTTGACTTTCGACGAGGCGAAGAGATCCTAGTCCGACCGAGTTCAATCTTTTGCCGTGGTGATAGATTCCGTTTCTCGAGACGCCCCGAGCCCTAGCGATGACTTTCGAAAGTGACCCGATTCCTCGACTGTTCTCAGGTCCAACGCATGGTCGAGGTGGCCGACGCACACTATTCGAAGCTTCTGGTCCAGAAGATTGCTCTCAACAAAGAACAACTGCAGAAGTCAACATCTGGAAAGCACGCCCTCGCCAAGCTGGAGAAGTACCTCTACAAGTATCTATCCGGCAACCAGGCGGGCTCTCCTCCGCATCCTCACCACCCTCAGCAACCTCAACCGGCCCAATAAGCTAGCGAGGAAGCGTGCGAAGTCGGCCGGGAGGAGAAAATGGATCGACGCATGAATATTCTGCTGCTATTGCTGTTAGGTAAGAAGACGGAACGGTCTACGTAGGAGGGAAATACACGTCGTAGATCGTGACGGAAAGTTGACCGAGGTGCAATTGGACGGTTCTCGAAATCCGAACGGAGCTTCTAGCTTTCTTCAAACTCAGAGCAAGCAAGCAACCAAGCAAGGACAGTATGACTGACTGAATAACTGAATTATGGATCAATTGAACGGTCGATTGACGCAGAGCGGACTCCACCATGGGTAGTTTACGACTCATGCGAAAGGACACACACTTACACACTCATACACACAAACGCAAACAAACACACATCGCTGATAGCGTCAAACTCGATGAACGGATGCAAACGAGCTTGTCGTTTCCTCTGTCGAACCGAGTGGAAATTTCGACAAAATTGTCGGGCTGTTGTCCGGTCAGCTGCATGGAGAAGAGGATGAAATGAGGCAACTCGGCGCTACTTCCTATCAACTGACGCTGGAAAGAGCTCCCCATCCCAAACCTTCTGCAAACCTGGCGTGCCAGTTCATTCAGCCGCTGTGCGCTGCTGTTTCTCATGTAAACAGGTGTATATAACAAGTGTCTCTCCTGAAGTGGTCTCGCCGCAGCTACTGTGGCGGAATCCTTCAGCGAAATCCGTTTGCTCTCTATGTTTGGCCAAACGAGACAAATCTACCAAAACCTCTTCCCAAGACTGTCGCCGGAACGAGGAAACAGCAGGACCGAGAGTTATTCCTGGCCATTAAATCTTCCGGCGGAGAGACACGAACTCGACGCGGGATCCTAAGCCTTTATGCAACAAAAGTGATTCAACTTTGTGTACAATCGAAAACCTTCTCCGCTGAATCGCAAATCTTCCTGCTATTTGTGACGAGTGAGGATATTCCCGGAGCTCTCCTCGGAGCTCTGGAGGGACAACTCAGCTCACGCAGTCGAGACGAGCGCCAACGTCGATTTTCTTATCCGCGGGAATGCATTCTGTGTATTGGCATTCGGTGTATTTCTGTCTAAATGTCGATAAGCCTACGAGAATATGAATATATCATTATTATCATCGAACAAGCCGACTCGTGTGGATCGTAGAGAAGTGGAGGAGGAGTGCGACCTCCGTGAACACTCAGAATCAGACTCTCTTTCTCGTGAAGCACTCACAGTTCACCACACGGACGAAAAGAAAACTGGAGACAAAGAATACTTGTACACTTGATTATACAAGAAGAAAGGCACGCAAAACGGCACAGCGGAACATGTCGCAGCAGAACTAGTCAAGAACCTCAACCTGCGAAGGAATGAGTGCGCGGAAATCGAAAAAAAATTACATCAACACGCAACCGATGACAGTCGCAGCTAGGGACGAGAGCCATGAGCTCGAGCGTACCTCGAATACCGTGCAGTCAAAGCGCGAGCGGACAGACACGCTGACAGACAGACAGACGACAAATATTAAATACGATTTTCTCGCGAGAGATGATATGATCAATGATACTGAAAGCGCCCCGCGGCATCCGGGAAGCAGCCACGAATCGTTGTCAGGTAACAAATTTCGAGTACCAATACCACGCTTTGAAAACATCGCCCACCTAAACATTGACGCAAACAGAATTATATGCATATGCCTATCACGTGATCAGAGTGGAAGACTCCATGGGGTGAGAGATAATGATGGCGAGACCGAGAGCAGCGTCGGCGTCGTGACGAATGTCTTGCGTGTTGCCGTCTGCTCTTCGCGGTGGACTCGAGATATCGATGCGCGGTCTAGACTTCTTCACATCGTTCGTATCATACTGACGACGCTAAGGGGGCGTTCGATCGTGACAATATCACTCCTCAGAGAGGGCTCAAGTGCTCGTTCCGAGCATTTATCTTCATGCTCTTTCCAAACTTGCTCTCTCGATAGACTTTGAAGAGGTGGATCGTTTTCCCAAGATGGCCCATTCTCGATATGCAAAGAAAATAGCAAGCTCTTTATGTGGCTCAGTGTTTGGTTATCGGAAGGGATTCCTCCGTGAGTGTTGGACGGCTACCTTGGTCCCCGAGACGAGGCTTGGTACAAAACCGAATTAGACTGCGTATTGATCAAGAAGTTGATCACTCTCGCGCGAGAATCTTCAGGAAGTCTCCGGCGGAACGTCCAAATAGCAAGCAAATCGACAAAACCCCGACACACCTATACAAGATCAGATAGATCAGACACACGTAGAGCAGGCACGGGAAGAAAAGCTACAGATCTCGTAACGGATAACTCGGGACCGGGTCTGACATAACAGAAGGGAGAATGGGAGGATAGAAAAAAGGGAATCGGCTGAATTCGCGAACTGGCGTCGTGTTAGAAGCAATAGCGAACTCGTCTTTGAAGAGGGAAGAGTAATGAGAGCGGAAAACGGCAAAACTGTGCATAGTACGCCTGTGTGCTTCGTCTTGTCTTCGTTTTTTCGTGATTCGTTCAGGAAAGAGTATCATGTGTCATATGTAAGCTGCGTTATCAGAGCTGTTATTATTACTTGTGTTACTATTAACCACGATAGATATTGGGAGACGGACAGAGAGACAAACAGAGAGAGAGACAGAGATCGATATGTAGAGAAAATATCCCGCAACCCACTTCTGAAGCTAGTTTTCGTGGAATAGCGATCGTGTGATTAACTGATTAGCCTGTCAGTCAGCTAGCCAGGGGTTGGTCGATTCGAGCCACAGCCTGAATTAGCGAAACGGAGGCAACAAAATACAACAAAGCTACCGCTACTGCGATAGAGTACCATGATGATTTAGGAGAGAGAGTACGATTGATTTAGAAGATGATCGGGTCGAGAATCTCGATTCCGATTCGATTCTGAAGCGACCGGTGACGCTATCTGAAGATGATTAAGCGAATACATGATGATGATGAGCCGAGATACTCTGGGGCCGCCGCAAGCATGCGGTGACGTCAGAACGCCCGAGGAACGTTAGGTATGCTCAGCTACAAAATACAACAACAAACCTATATATATATATGTACACGTATATATATATATATGCATATAACTATAAATACGGAGAATATTGAGGAGACGGAGGCGAAGAGCAATTTGATGGAGTCGGGCAGTGAGTGATCCCCGGCACGAAGTCAGAGACGAACTGTGACGTCCTGTTTATGGATTCGGAACCCACCGGAACGATCGCTAGAACCGTTCATGCCTAATCGCGACCTAGATGAAGGGAAGTTGATCTTGCGAAAAAGTGGTTCGTCTTTGGCTTGATTCGGGGCAGTAACGGTGTGTAACTACGGATGCACTTTCGCGCGATGCCTTGTAGGAGCAGATTCTGATTGCAAAAACTTTTTGATTTCTAACCTTGGATCGTGTAGCAACGATGAGCACTCATAGACGGAATATGATGAGATCAGTGAACTCGGTGCCGCGTCCGGGAGTGACTTTACAAATCATTCGGGCGATGTGGAGCGGCTCGTTGCGAGATCGACCCGGACCATGGATCTTCTTTTCCGAAGCCAGGTCCAGGCCCTGAAGTCCTGAATCGGGATGCGAGAGACACTTTTCTTGTAGAAAAAACTCTAATCGTTATCGGGTCGAAGACGAAATGATACCTCCGAAGGGTGTGCGGCGGAGGGGAAGCTTCCGGCGACCTTTCTTGCACTTGCTTGCTGAAGTACTTTCCCTCTTCTTTCCCGTGTACGCAGAGAGTGACTTTAGGCTTTATTTCGGTTTCCCTTGTTTTTTTTTTTCGTCAGCGAACTTCATTCTTAACGCCTCCTCTTCTTCTTTGACGCCGAGATAAGAATTCTTGTCGCGCTCCCCTCCGAGCGGAACCCTAATTCCATCCCCAGCGACTCTGAGCTCGTCTATTGGGGAGCTTGTTCCCGTGGATGACTAACAATCGCTTCAGTCGTGACTTTTTTCCACGTCCCTTCTCTTGGATGATCATTTGATTGATTTGATCTGCTTAATCTTTAATCGAAGCTTTTCTCCTCCCTTCCCCAGAGCACTTCCTTTCGTTTGAGGGCTAGCAACGTCCCGTCAAAATTTCGAACTAATATCGACGAGTATGGAAGAGAAAGTCAACTTGGTTACGGCGAGCGAAGGACTCTGATCGACCATGCTACAGAATCAGTCTCTCGCCATTGATTCTTCGTAGATCGATCGGTCGGTCCGCTTCATGATGGGTTGACTTGAGACCGATCGCTCGAAAGACAAATTAATCGCTCAGTCATTCCTCGAGCCTGGATCGACATCGACTAATTCGAGGGAGACATAGTCTATTATTCGAATGATAGTAGCGTCCCGTTTAAATAATTTCGTCGATGAACGATTGATTGATTGATTGACTGATCGATTGCTCATGGGAGCAGGAGCTGATCGATCGTCTGCCTGCTTGGTTGATTGTTCTGGAGGTCGATGACGATGAACTGACGACTGATCGAGTGGGTCTCTGCTCGATTGATCAAGTGACTGAGTGTTTGACTGATTGATTGGGTGATCGATTCAAGAGTCGACAGGAGGTCTGATAAAGGGTCGATACATTGACTCAAGAAGAATTTCACGTATGAAGAGCAGCTTGTGTGACGACCAGTGTTCGTTCTATTTTGTTTGTATACACCCTGGAAAATTCAACGGAACCCGATCACTCCGAGCAGCGACGTCATACGTGTTGGCAGACGGAATGTAAGGAGCGCGGTGCGGCATGTATGAATGTCCGATGCAAATGATTCTCGGTGCATGCAGTGCGGCAGCCACTCAGAGGCGGCCGCCGCCGTATCAGAGATACAAGTGTTTCGGGAGTTGTATTTCGTTTGGTGTTTTTCCAAACGCTCCACCATCCTCCACTAACAACTGGTCAGAGAACAGCCGGCCGACCGATCGTGGACAGACCGATCGAGTGAGCGACCGACCGACCGACCGACCGACCAACCAACCAAGAAACTAAATGGTCAAGGTTCGGGCAACGTAGCTAGCCATTGAGTGTACAATATAATACATATGTATAAAAAGGTCGCTGACCTGTCTCGACACAATGTCGTCCGCAATAGTAGATGTTGTTAGGTTAATATTGGGTTTGTTTATCGGTCGGGTTAGCCTTCTTTGCGCGATCGTTACCCGGAAAAAAAACATAAATAGACTGAATCGGAAGGTTCTGCTGTTAGCTTTGGATCGATTGAAATTTATTTTCCACTTTCTCTGTTCGAGAACAACAACGGCGAAAAGAAGCGGCCCGCGAACTGACTGAAGCAACTCGTGAGCTACGGGATGGCATTGTCGATATCCGTTTCAGCGTGAAAGTCGGCTCCGCTCAGTCCCCGACGTGGAATTTCATTTATTTACGACAGTTCATTTAGAAACAAGATCAGCGTTGATGTGTGCGGTGAGTCGTCGAAAACTCGCCGAGACCTATCGAAAGGCATTCGACCTCACCTCCATCAAGTTTGGGGCTCGAGGCTTGTGTTAAGTGTCGACTAAAACGAATCGCGCATTGAAGGTGGGACTGTAAAAATGAATATAGCGAAATGAACCTTGTATAACTATTGTATCAATTTTTTGATTGTGTAGAAATGATGGAAAGAAGAATTTTATGAATAATATAATTCTACAACAACAAACAACAACAAAAACTTACCTTGCTAATCTCTGCAGCAACAATAAAAAGAATTCAACAACACTTTTGAATGGAGTGCTCGAATCGCAGAATAAAATCTGTTTATTAAAAATGCTATGTAATTTTGTCCTCATTCGTGTGTCCGAGCGATCCCCTAGTTCAGGATCCACGGAGGCGGCCGACTGTTTGACGGTTGGCTTCCACAGAGCTCTAGAACCCTGCCGACCACGGTCAGCGACGATAATCATAATTTTCTGCTAATGGAGACTCTAGACGCTAACATCTCGACTGGATGCATGAAATTAGCTCAACGATCGCGAATATTCGTTCGTGCCTGATTGCCATTACAAGTCTCCGTCCAGTCTAGCTAGTGGAGGGCATCCAACTCATGCGAGGGTATCGACGAGCCCTTGACCATCGGGATGAGTTGGGACGATCGAAATCGGCAGCCGCATTCTCAGCGTCACCTAACGACGGGTCAGATTGTCTTTACTCATTCATCCATTTTTGGACACCATCCGGAATCTCTGCCGGTGCTCTTACAACTTTGGAGCGATGGGGCCCGTGGGGAATCTGAAGGGTTCGGGGATCTCCTGCTTCATATTCATACTTCCCCCCTCTCATACGTGGAGCTTCGATTGTTGGGAGGAATTTATGAGCCCCCTCTCCGGATGGATTGATCATGTGTCTTCGAACAAGTGTCTTGACCTGAACCTCTTGGTAGGGTCCGTGACGAGCAGTGTAAAGGCGAGAATAGAGAACTCGAAATCACCTCCTACCTCAGAGCTAATTAGAGTCAACCGTCCCTTCCCCCCCCCCTCCTCCTCACACAGGACTCATAAACAAACTCGGGAGGGTTTGTTCGATGTTGCCTTTATTAAATATTCTTTAGGTGATGGGTTTGAGAAGATTCGAATGTTTACAAGCCAGGACTTCCATCAGTCCCAGCCTTAGACAATATATTACATTTTTATTGAATGTAGATGAATGATTCGTTCGATTGATTCCTGATTCCGTCGGGAAGTAATTGAAGAACGGTGGCCTCTCCCACACCCGGCTCGTTGATGGTAGTTGAGAGTCAAGCTGTTGCGTCAGTGGATCGATCGATTGCACCGTGCATGATTCTTTGAGTCATAGAACACCAATACCTCACGATCAGGGAGACCACCGCGGAAAGCTTTCGTTCTGGACTACGCGAGATTATTATATTGAAGTTGAGGTCTCGACGTAGATCCGGCCATACGTCGGGAGCACTGATCATTGCCATTGAAATCATCGTTATCATCGCCGTTGTCTTTCATCGTGTCCCAGGGCAGTTTCTGAAGTATGGTGTGGATATATGCACATCATCGTATCGCGTCGTTCTAGAGTACAGCTTTGCCGTGTAGATCTCGTGCGAGAAACCCTTAATCCATTCGCTTGCATCATCCACCAGATCACTCAGCAGTGCATCCATTATCCAATACATTCATTCCAAAGTCGATGTAACCTTGCAGTAATGGTGGTGGTTGTCGTCGTCGGGGTCGTCTTCGTCGTCGACCTCTCGGTGGTGATTGTGGGAGTGATTTTTGTTGCTGTTCTTGACGACCTCAGTATCTGTTGGCGTTTCCCTTTGCGCCAAGGGGTCCCATTTCATTTTCTTCGATATTTCGGAGCATTTCGAGGTCTGCGATCTTGGCCTGATCCTTAATTCGGGTGTAGTTAGCCGAGAGACACATAAGATAGTGGATCAGGCTGATCAGGACGACGAAGGACGCTCCGGTAGCGACGTAGTACATGAGCGAAGCGCTTCCCACCTGCAGATAAACGGCGTGAAGCTCGTTAAGATTTCGAATGATCAGTCCCCGAGGGATCGAATGATTCGAGTCTGAGGACTCACGTAGTCGTGGCAGAACTCCTTCTTTTTGCCTTCGTCGCAAATGACTTGATGTTCCAGGGACACCTCGGGTAAAAGGAAGTCAAATTGTTCGAGGTTCAAGCATCTCTCGTTGTTGTCGAGATTCATCGAACGAAGTCGGTTACACATCGATGTCCAAGTGAAGAACACGAAAGATGCAACTGCCATCGCTAAGCAGATGAAGATCCACACCAACTGCAAGGATGAATAGCTCATGGCGGTCAGGAGAAGAATATCATTCGGTACAATATTTCTGCCGATCGTCGATGCGAGCATCATCTTCTGCCCGGGTCGTTCACCGCGCCCTTCGTACCGAAGGCAGGAGGCGTTGCCGACGAACGACTCGGTGACATGATGTAGCATTAACATATTACGGACCTTGAGAATATAGGTGACGGACATGAGAAAAATGCAGGTGAAACGGCCTCCAGCACGAGCTTTCCAATCTTTATAGATCGTCGTTCGAGTGGATCCGGTGCTGAGACATCCGATCAGAAGGATGAGGAGTGCCAAGACTCCCATACCGGCGCCGACGGCGATGAATCCAATCTGAATGTCTTGTAGTCTATAGGAGAAAAGACAGATTAGCATTGGGATTTTCTAAAAAGCGTGGCCTGCGGTCGGCTACACGAATTATACATCTCGGGACCACCGCTCGGGACATAGGAAGATCAACAATTTTTTCTCTTGGGAAGTGCTCTCGAGAATAAGGATCTCGATAATGAAAAAGCTCATCGTCGATGGAAGAATTCCCGAGACAGCGCTGTTTGGTCACAAATTCGAAAAGGGGCGGTTCGAGGGATTTTCCAGAGCTGGGTTCTTATGCTCGACTCACCTGACGTGTGTGGCTCTGCGGGACGTTGGAGGAGGGCAAGCGGAAATGAATAGAACATAAGGGTTTGGACGGCATTCACAGCAACGAGTCGAGGGACAACATGGGGATTCGGGGAATGCAACGAGTTTTGATAGAAATTAGAATGCGGGAACGGAATGACATCGAGTTGATTCAACAAGCAGAAAGGAAGCTATTCAGGACGGCGATGCCGACTTGGATGCAGAAATGAAATATGTTTCCCTCCGTAGACTAGAGTTCTCCGTCATCTTGCACGAACTTACCCGAACATTCGCGAGTAGAAAACGTGTTCGAACATCTTCATGGTCGCGTTTAGACCTCTGTAGGTGGCAAAGAGGAAGACCGTCACCCCCGCCGCACACATCAGGGTGGCGATCAGCGTTGCGAACGGCATGCGACCCATACAGCCGCAGCAGCATCCTGCAAAGATTTCAAAATGACGTCAGCTCTGAATTGGATCGAGGAGACGGGGGATTGGATTAATCCCGAAGAAGATTGGGTCCGAGAGGTCGGACTCGGGGTTCGCATTCGTGCTCTGCGTCATGAGGTGTCTGCATGATGGGCCCTTCGGAACACGCAGTGTCTCACGTGTCAAGGTTGACTCAAGATTGCCGTTGCGACTGTTTTCTTTCTCTTATTCTTCTCCCATCATTGACACCGACGCCAAAGCACATTACAGTTTCTACAGGGTAATTACGGATTCTTCTTCAGGAGGGATTTACGTTTTCCTCCGCGGGAGGATACTTCGAGAAGAAAAAAAAACTGCGTCTGTCAGCTCTGTTGCTCACTACGACTGGTCTGCTGCTGGAAAGAGCAACGGTGATTGTGACGTTTGAATTTTTGCACTGATCGTCGAAGTCGTTGTCGAATGAGTCTCTGTTCTCGATGTGGATATTTTTTAAGACGTGACGTTGCGCCGATCTTTTCTCCCCGACGCGTTGTTTCCTATGGCGACTATGGCCCTGGTCGGCGAGACGAAACTTATAAAAATGGATTTGTGTTCATATCTTAATATAGACGAAGTTACTTCCTCGTTGACGTTTCCGTCGCTTCTGTCGAACTTTTCGTCGTTTCTGTCGAACTTTCCCTCGATCGCGTAATTCGCCGATCCGAAATCCAGCGAACTGCGTCGATTTCTCCGGTCTGCTCGCGGAGGGCTTAATTTTCCCCATCGATGTTAGCTCACGTCCGCACTAAGCAGGTAGACGCACGACACGAAGTTTACTTTGAATTTCTGACGGTTTACCTTTCTCGTGGTGCTCCGACTCCGACGAGAACATGCCGCGCTGTGGGCCGCCCGGGAGTTTGACCGATAAAGCACGGATCACTGATTTATTTTTACACGTTCACGGAAAATCTGACAGGGGCTGCACTCCTTCACGAAGAGAACTATTCCGGAGAATTTTCAGCGACGGCGGAGGTGGCGACGCTGGCCATCTTGTCGCAGAGACGATTACTACTAGTTTGTCCGGAATTCCGCGGGTCTTTTGGGTGACTGCCAGTCAGACATTCAGCTGAGAAGTCACTCACATGATTCACCAGCGTCGGAATGAACGAACGTTGTCCAGAAAGACAAGCATCGAGAAGCTTTCGAGCGCATGCGTCAGCTGACAGCAAACTGAGGGGGAATCTGAGCGATAGAACGGTTGAACAGACAAACGAGCGAACAGACGAACAAACGGAGAAAGGTCACTTTCCATCCACAGTTCGCGCGCTTCCGATCTGGTCGAGTGATGTTTATTCAAGAAATCCATGCCATTAAACAAATGTTCTCGAGGTCCAAACCAGGTCAACCGAAAGAATCCCACCGTCGCAGCTGCCGCCGAAACCGGTGGACATGAGTGAAACTTCCGAACAAACACAAGTCGTATCGAAGAAGCTGCGGATCAGCTTCGAGATAACATATGCTCACGAGACAGAATTCGAAAACAGCCGAGTTCGATATATGCTTCCGCGAGATCTGCATTGCTCCTACTTCCCGTCCCAAATCATCTCGGCTCTCGCGATATTCAAGCGCCCTCAGCGACGCTGTGCGAACGATAAAAACCTTTCCCGTAGGTAGTCTTAAGTACGGAGCCTCCCGATGCGATCTCTTCCACTAATATTTGCGAAAGCAGAGCGATTTGCCAGCCCATAGCCTTTTGCCGTCGCTGCGATCTAGGATCGCGAACGCAGTTAGTCTGAATCCTTGATGTGTCCGTGGCGTTGCATTCAAACGAATAGTCATTTGATGCTCTACCGAACAAAGACAGAGTACGAATTCATCGTATCAAAAAGCGTTCAAGGGTTTTCCTGGTGTCGTTTTTTCTTCTGGGACACATAGAGGGCGTATTCTTTCTATATTCCTTCATCTACTGACTCAGGTTCCGAAGGTTTCCTTCATGCATTACTGCGGATTCTGGGAGTTCCGCTGCGACACTCAGGGCTCCACCTCTGACTTCATTGAGCTTGGATCCGGACGGTGTTTATATTTCGACTCAGCCTTCCCAGAGTCTAATTCCATTCAGTTCGGGTGTGGAATTATTTCAGCGACTCAGCTGTTTCCACCCGAATTAATCACCGCGTTACCCATACCGGGACACCGAGTGAAATTGGAGTCTTTTGAAAATCGCTTTTCCAAAAGAGGTATAATATCCCGCTTCCAAATGGCCTTGTTTGCAAAGCATCGACTTCTCCGTAAGGCGCCGCAGCAGATCTTATAACGGGTATTGCTCGCCTGCCCGCCTGCTTGCTAGGTAGGCTCTTTCGGCCGTGTGCTTAGCTGACCACGCCTTGGTCGTGCCCAGACATACTTATCCGAGTGCTCCTTAGGAATGCATCGTATTGCTGCTGCTCTCGCGGTTTCGAGATTTTGGCTCGCTCGGGATTAGGCACCACGAAAGGACCCGCACAGAACCAACCGGAAGCCACCGGATAATATTCAAAGCTATGATGCAGCACTAAAAGATTCTTACCAACGTTCCCGAAAAGACTTATCAGATATATCCACCACCACCGTGGTCCATGGCAATGCTTGGCTCTCTTTTGAACGAAGATATTTTCAAAAGCACACGTCGCCACAACACCAGGCACGAAGAACTGTAATCCAGAGCGTGTCGAACGGGGCAACTGAGGAGCTACAAGTGTTGGACGGACCGATGTTTTGAGCTCTCCGATGTGGGCATGGCAACCACGGCAGCCTCTTGCGTGACCAGACGTCACGGATCAACCGCAATCCGCACTATATCCGACGCCGCCGCCTCCATCTTCACTCTACCCTGTGGGAAGAATCAGTGGAGCGCGCGCCTCTTCCGCTGTCAAATCGACGGCGATGGCGGGCTGGGGGGCGGGCTCCGTTCCTGCTAATCGGAAGAGCATCCACTGGGAATCCGAATATCGGCGAAGCACTTTGCACCCACTCCACTCCGCGGAGGTATCAACTCGCGATTCCGCAGGAGAAGCGCACGGAAGAATATTTCCATTCGCAGGTCACGCAGCCGCTATCACCGTTACAGCCGTTCGCTTGGACATACCGCTGTCACATCACAGAACCGGTATGCAGATCTCCCGAATTTTCTCCGACGACCGAATACGCGATCTCGGTCCACTTCACTGAAGATTGAATCTGAGCTCTACTGGACAACGGTACTCACGCTGGTTGCGCGGCTGCATTCAGCAGCTTCAACGACTTGTTGTCGTTCTTCTTCTTGAGCTGTGTGTGTGCGCGGCGATTGTTGTTGTGGACGATAGCCTTGTGGCGGCGACGGCATCGCCCGAACAAAAACCTTTTCTCTCAACGCTTTTCAAAGCCCTTTCCGTTTCTATTGGCGTATTACTACCGCGAGCACCGCACAGCAGCAGCACAACCGGCTCACCATAAACAGTGGGACAGACAGACGGACAGACCGACCGACCAACCAACCGACCAATACCAACTTAGGGTTACCACCGCGACCAGACGAGGGTTCCGCCGCGACCCTGCGCCGCCGCCACCCTCACCGATGGGGTTAACGCCGCTCTCTCCGGATTTCACGTGCTGATCCAGAAAAACGTTCCGGCAGCAACTCTGGAATCACTCTGACTGGGTGAGAACGAAACTGAACAATTTTTGAGTGACGACCAGCAAACGAACGAGTGAACGAACGAACGAGCCAGCTGGACGCTAACGGTGCTCCACACCGAATGACGAGCACTTCGACTAACGGCGGAGGGATAGAATTTTTTTTTGCTCTTTTCCGACAGCACTCGTGCCTCGCTCCATCGACTTCGTTGATGGCAGTCTAGCGGCCGAAACCGGAGGATCCTCTTCCGAGGCTCGAGCACCTCGATCGGTCGGCGCGAGATGCTAACAAGCGCTGGCTCCGCTCATGACGACAAAGTCGATTGAAGCTAATGCCTCAGAGCAATTCAAAACGGACGCGAGGAATAGACGCCGAAAACCGTCGACAGTTCTCGGCGTCTTCTGATAATTTTGCCATCATTGCTCGAAACATCATCCGGCGCCTACGCGATGGTGACAGCGGAGACAACGATGACGACGGCGACGAATGGGAAAAGCTGGAACAAGTTTCCTAATGCCGTCCGGTAGTTCGCAACACGAATCTGCTGAGATTCGTGTGGCAACGAACTGGGAACGACGAAACGATTCTCGACGAACTTAGTTGCTCCGACAACAAACAACTCCGATATGGTGGGCATGCTTCTCGAAGGCATCGATGTCAGAGCTTCCGTCCGACGTTCCACGAGCATAGACGAACTTTTATACGACTCACGAATTTTCGGATGTTCCCGTAAGCTCCGGCTCGAATCCTTCCCGAATCGCTCGACGATCGTCCGAGACAACTCGAACAAAGACCCGATCGCATCATGGATCCAGGATTCGACTAGGGACCTTCGTGTGGAGGTCGCTTCCGGAGGATTCATTCTCAAGAGCCCCGTGAAGCTCAGGAGCTTCTCCAACTTTGGAATCTCCATCTCGTGGATCTGTACTAGTCGATGTGCATTCACGTCGCATCGCTCTCACGCGGGCCGAATGTGGATGATCAAGAGAAATTCTATCCTCATAATCAAGAGGCCTAATCATCTCGATTTCTTGTGTGCTACTTGAATACTAACAATCATGCACAGGATCCGGAGTTTCATTACTTGACAAAAATTATAGCAAAAATACAATGACGCTACGCGCCTAAAGTCGGACTGATGGGAAGTTCCGTATCCCTAAAAAGCGGCAAAGCGGGAAAAGTCGGAAATTGAAGTCTCCACGACTCGACCATCAAATATCATTGCGCATTTTGGACGAACCCAGTAGCTGAAAGCGCAGTATCTCTGAAGTTTCACTGGGGGCGCGGAACGCGAAGCCGTTACTCTGAATGGGAGGCGCTCGCAACATTTTGAAACTTCCACGCTGTAGTGGGGTCAAATGCGCCGAACATAGCCTCGCTCAAGAGAATGTTTCGAAGATATTTTTGGTCTCGTTGCTCTGAAAACAGCCACGCTAAGCCAGAACAAAGTGTTCATCACTAATTGTGGTAATTATCGTCATCAACGTGCGTGCTGAACGCGGAGCGCCGTCATCTATAATCCACTGAGTTTCTCCTATGATCAACTCACACAGACAAACTATCCGGAGAGATTTCAAAATCCATTAATCTTCGCTTGAAAATGAGTCGGGAACTTATGGTAGCTGCTCGAGAAAGTCTCTAGCTTTCTCAAGGAGGCCTCCTCGCAAGTTTAAACTACAGAGTTTTTCTGTGTCCGGATACCCGAACCGATTGCGTTGCATTCGTTCTGCTCCCGGGATCTGATGTTACCTATCGGGCTCGAAATCAGAGGCAGCTAGACCACGAAACTTCTGTGTAAAGTGACTCGCGAATCTGGACCCTGTACTTCGGAAGTCTGATGGGCTCGAGCCTTCAGCCCCGGCAGTGGGGCCGATTGCCCTGCAGGGCTGCGCGGATCCCTTTCTCTGGATGAATGAAGAGCGAATCCTTCGAACCCGCATCAAGCTAGATAGCAACCCACAATCCCTTCGGATACCACTCGCGTCATCACCTTTTCGGAAAAATCGTGTATTTCACGTCGGAATACATTTTGCCACCGGGTCCGGCGAGGCTTCTTTGTTGTCCCCGCCGCCACCGTTGTTGATTAGAAAGTGCGTGGCAGCCAGCACCGGGTTCAATGATCACATTTGGCGAGCTTCCAAGAGTTTCCACTCTTGCTTCTGAAAGTTGCCTCGTCCATTCGGCGGCTTTCTCTGCCCCAGGATGCGATTCCAACCAGAGCACTGAATCCATTCGCTCATCTTCCAGTTCTCAGCTCCTCTGGGAACAATGTTACCTTGCCATCGAACGACCGAATCCGATTCTTCGACAATGTTCCATTCTTGGTCGGACCGCTTGAAGTAATTCTCTGAACGCGACGAGGATCCGCGCTGGCTTCGTCTTCATTGTGCGGGTTCACTACGACAGTGATCGACCCCATTCAAGCGACTGGGCGAGTTCTCATCTAGCGAATGACACATATATCGAGCGAGCTCAAAGCTCAGCACTTCCGAGCACGAGCGGCGGACGCTTCCCATCCTCCGTCCATGAGTCACAAGGCCGCCACCATGGTACTCGCGTCGTCGCATAATATGGAAGTCGTCCATCGATAGTTGGCACGCGGAATTCAGTCCATCAGAACCCGGGTGAATTTTCCCAAGGAAGTCTTCATTATCTTCCCCGTTAGTATTTAGTGTAACGTGGGAATGAGACGCTTTTCACAAGAATCGACACTCCGGAACTTTTTCGAACCGCGTATTCTGTTCGGCTCGAGACCTTAATTTTCGGTAGATCGTCCTGGGGGAACGGGGCTCCATCCTACGGGCCTTCCCTTCCGGAATCGGTGAACATTGTTCAAGAATATGAGAGCTCTGACACTTCAACGAACGACCTATCTGTGCTCCGGAGGACTCACTAAGCGAGTGCTGAATAGATTCTCGATTGGGACCCACCCGAGAGTCGACAGGACCACACGAGCATGGGGAGAGTCGAGGTCAGCTTATCCAGAAACGTCTCCATCATGAATGCCGGATACGCCCACGGCTTCAGGTGCTGCACGGGTCGGTAGACGAAAGGCCCTCGGGTACCTATCTCGACCGGTGTACTCCGATCAATTCCCATTTCTCATCGAAGACGTCGTGTTCCCACATTCCCATACGGGAGCGAATCCACCCGGAGAGCGCTCACGTCTCTGCATCGAATATGTCCTTTGTTCGTTTCTGTGTTCGTGTCGTTAAACGTAGTATTCTCTCGATAGAAACGACTCTCACCAACAAATATTCTCAGCTGGAGAGTCTGCGCCACGGTTTCGCGGACGGGACAGGCGACCGAGAGCAGAAATGGAAGATCATCGAAATGATTTGGGATTCCGCTTTGGGGTTGCACTCGACCCACTTTTTTTTCGGTGAGCTCGTGGTTTCCGTGGAATAACACCCTGACCCAGTCGCGATATGAGCGTGCCAGCGGTCTGCGGTCACGTCGCTTGCGTGCCCACGCGGGAATCCGGGCACCATTGAAGATATGTGATCTTTGGAATCATCACATCATCACTAACGCAGAATCGCGAAAAAATGTTCTGTTCATCATCTCCGTGCAGACTGCTCGTTCTGGAGCAGCCGTCCTGAGGCTGTGATGGTAGTGAAAGAAGAAGCCCGGTCCATCATCAATTTTACTTTTTCATCTTCTGCGTCCCGCAGTCGAGGAACCCCAGAAGTGAGCAGAAACTCACTACAAGCGTAAACAAAGAAGAGCAAATTTCTTCATTCATCTCATTGCTTCTCACGAATCTGACCGTTTCACGCAGCGAACGGAAAATCCCTCGGGCTCAACTGACGGAGAGCGAAAATCAAATTACTACTCTCAGGAGAAGCTCTCTGAAAGTGATTAATCAATGACATCCGAGATGACAGCAAGCCGTAAGAATCGGCCTGGATTTTCGTTCCACGACCTTTCCCGTCTTTTTCTCTTCGTTCTCGGTCTCAGGACATTCCTGGTTTTCCTCGGAATTCCCTTATCTGTATGATTCTGGGCCGAATATATCTGAAGCGAGTCCCTGTCCCCTCACGACTCATCCGAGCCCCGCTGATCACCTTCTCCCGGACAGGTGAACCCATGTGGCCGTACCGTCTGACGACGTTCCCTCTCGGCCTCGGAAAGAACAGGAGCGAAAGTTCTGGAGTTGCAGGTCCATCATGCGGGTTGTGAGTGACTTTCGTCGAATCCAGCGGATCGTCACTGATGTGTTGCGGTCGTAATTCATGGAATCGCGTGGAACAAAGGGGAACGCGACATGAAGTATGAATGAGGCTCGGGTCATCTACGGTCACGCTTATTGTCCGACTAAAAAGCAAGCCACTCCGGAGCCGCTGGATTTCCGGATAGACGGTCGTTGACAGCTAATTTGACAGAGAGCCCACAGATCAAGGAGTTTCTGTGTGAGCTATTCCTACGAATGTTGCTAATGACGGTTCCGAAGAGCGAAACTTTCCACTCCCGCTGCCTGACTCTTCTGCCGGTCTGAGACTTGTTCTCTCGACTTGGCGAGAATCCCGCACGCCAACCCGTTTTCGGCTACAGATCGTTAATCGGAGCAAGAACGGGAGATCGATGGATAGCGCTCGATAAACCCCTTCATTCGATCAGTCTATTGACGGCAGGGATCCCTTCCGCTGTTCAATTGAACGTCGGACTTAGGAGAGCTCTGGACTTCTCAAAATCCCAGCGGATATCGACTGGGGCTCGCGCGGTCCACAGCCTCGAGAGAATCCTCGAGCTGTACCGATAAACGATAATATGTACAAGCTTCTCGCAGAGGACCATTCGTGCTCGAGGCATTCCCGTTCAGGAATTCCTTCGGAGCGGCCTGCCATTTGGAAACGGGCAAACATTTTTTGGTTTTATCTTATCAAGGGTGCTTCTCATCTCTCAGAAGGAACTCACGCCGGGTTGCCGCCGTAAACAGCTCGCTCCGGAGTGGAACTAACTTCAGAACATATTGCAGCGACTCAATCCAATTTGGGGCGGAGCAGCAACGGCGACGGCAGCTGCATCGAGCTCGTCAGCGTCATTACGCGAATGTGCTATTCAAGCATTGGATCGGGAGCGAAACCAGAAACTCGTCTCACGGAGAACACGACCTTGAGGATGTTTTTCTCCTTCCACGCGTACCATCCAATTTCCCCGACATGTTTCCAGCGCACCCGTGCTCGATCATAGAAAGAGCGAGCGCGAATAGATATTCCCCATGTCACGATTCTCACGATGCCTCTCCGTTCCCCACCAATGTAGAATCGAACCGACTCGTCCCTCTAGGAGCGCAACATAAGCAAAACATACATGATCCGAATTCCGAGACCATTGAGATTGTCGGAATATCCTCCCGAGCGAATCGTAATCAAATCCTGTGAGTCCAGAGGAATCAGGGACATATATGACAAGCGACAAGTAGCATATCGTCCCATGCAACAGCCGGAACGTGACGTCTTCATCCGATCCCATTCTGATTTCATCACATTCTCTCGCTCTATTGATTCTGCTGCCGTGACTCGGGAGAGAGCCGAGCACTGCCGGGGAAAAAGAGCAGCAGGAAGCGAACAAATCAAAATTACTAACCTTTCGAGGATTCTTCAGTATTCCTTTCCCTGGAACGTCCGCAACATCCCGACGCGGATTCCTGCATCGGAGCGCCTTCACCAATCGAGGAATACGAGTAAGCTCGACTATCGTTGTAGCGCATCGCTACTTTTCACTTGGTCAACTGTGTTTCTCTTTTAGATCCGACGGGAACAACTTCGGCTAATGCTCGCCGACCTCCTGAAATGAACACGGATGTTGAGAAACCGCACTCGACAAAGCACGAGACAGAGTATCTTGAAGCGATCAGATCACACGGCCGAAACCGCCCTAGCCTCATCGAGGCTCGGCACGAATATGGAAATATTCCGAAAATCACTCGCTCCAATCGTTTTCCACCCTGTTATGTCAGACCGCCGCCCGTCTCGCAACTCGTTTGGAATAGCGGATAAGGTCGCGATACTCTCGATATCATTAAGAGGAGCGGATGCGAACCTTGGTAACATTTCTTCCGTGGACGCTGATCTCGTCCCGAGGATTCGAAGTAAATGTTGCTACTCTCTGTTGTGCATCTTTAACCATGGCAACCAGACCGGGGTCCGCTGGCTGGGTTGTCGTACACGGTCGCCGGCCTGGGGTCTCGACCGCGCGCATCGAGGAGGTTCGACTGAACGCCCACGTTACTTTCGATCCTTCTACCCGCCCCTTTTGATCCGATTCCGTTTTTCCCACCTTGTTCATAGACTTTGCGGGTGAATGACATGCTCGTCCGCCCAATACGTCTATTCATCCACCTCAACAGAGGTCTCATCCAGAGCTAATGAGTTTCCGGGATTTCCTCCGTTCTTGGTCATTACCCCGGGATGCTTGCGAGCGAAAGAGGATTCAATGTGGAGCAATTTTTTTGACAAAGAAAGATGTCAGACAGCGGAGCGAGCACCGAGTCGCCTTCAATCACGCGTTGATCGACAGCTACGCAACGCTTACTGTAAATTTGACGGATCCGTTTGCTCCTGTCTGCCGGATTGACGTCGGCTCTTACGTTCCGCTAGAGTTCGCACTACTGCATGGTTTTCCCTGATTTTTCTTTGATGCAATATATTGAGCTCAGCTCGATCTAGGAGCGTTCATGGAAACCACGCCCACGTGGTGTCGAACACCAGCGGATCTTGACATCTACATTCCTCGAGACTGAACCCTTCCTGAGTTTCCTAAACGAAGCCGAGGACTACCATCCGTGGAGGAGAAATGAGACCTCACGGTTTTTGATCAGCCTCGGCGGCGTACAAAGGTACTCTAGATCGAACAGCCTTCAGCTGGTAACTGAGCGGGTCGCGAGCCTTTTTTTTAAGGGTCAGAGTAGCCGTCGTCTATCGATAGCCCGACCTTGGCTTCGATAACATGCTGCTCGGAGTTGATGATCTGCGGTGTTATCGACAACGAGGCCTGGACCAGAATCCAATACAATGGGAATATAACATCTCGTGGTACACGAAGTACCGAATCCTGGAGTCGATGTCGATCGTGGAATCAATTTCAGAAATGTATCCCCGGTGTAGTCGAAGCTTCCTTGGAGTCGAACCCGCGGAGTTCTGTTCCTCATTGGCTCCCTCCAGCGATCGGTGTCATCGCGGTAGTCACCACTCTCATTCTCGCGGTTTTCGCACTGGGACACTTACTGCCGCGGAACGACTGGCGGACGATCTATCAAAGACGTTTTCTCCTGCGAGTTATTGTTATACAGTAGTAGTCGTAGTGAGAGGACTCTCCGTCGTCGAGCGACTCGTGGGGTTTGCGCTGACTGTCGTTGCATGTAGTAGTCGTCATGAGGGCATAATTGTTGCTTTTGAAAGCCGAGCCTCGCTCCAGAAAACTAGAGCATTGGTCATCACCAAGTTATTGTTATTGCTTTCTGAGCATTGTGAGCACTGCGCTCATGTTTTGAAGCGACCGACTGGGGGAGAGGAGCTGCCGTTTTTCTCTAGAGACTAGATATATAATGTTCGCCCGCTCGCCATCGCCCACTTTTCTGGCTGTCTGGTCGACGGGTTCTCGTCCTGTCCAATCTATTTCGAACCCGTCGCTTCGATTCCCGCCGTCTAGCCCGAATTCGCTGTAGGAGTTTTTTTTCTCGATGGTCCCGCTGAACATCCGTGCTCTTACATTTTCTAATCGTCTGGCCGAGGAGCTGGGAGAGGCTCTCGAACAATAGCCCGAGGAAAAAGACTTCGAAATCGGTAGAGCTCCCGAAAAAAGGAATGATCGTGTCCCCAATTACGGCTTGACATCGAGAGGTAGTCCCCATTATCGCCTCCGAAGACTGCTGATCATCTCGACCTGTTCTCTCGAGCTACGCGGGAAAAGTCCATTCAATTCAAACGACTCGCTCGAGTATATCTTTTCTAGCGTGTGTGAAGTTATGCAAGCTAATTCCGCAGCGACGTAAGACGTAATAGCTAAGATTCGGGATGTTCACTCGGTTTTGGGTCGCTTCAGTGGTTTTCGTCGGCTTGGGCAACAGCGAACGCAGGCAACGGCAAAGCTCCTTAGGCACGCTGAAGAAGAAGAACATTCGTCAGTTCCCGCTAGCCTCAGTCGCTCGTTGTCGAAAGTCGCTAGACGACGAGGAGCGGGCAACCCCGAGCACCGTGCTAATGATGGTTCGAAGCTCCCAGCCCGACTCCGGGCCACAATGATCGCTCGTTTGGCTCGGGGAGCAAGAAGAAAATATGTTTCTCTTCCACTACAGAGTCCCTCAACTCCAGAATATTTGCTAGAAATTGAATCGGGAGCCTGAGATATAACCGAGCCGAGCATTTCGATCCATATAATTGTGGATGACATTCGTTAAACGGAAGGGTCGCGAAGAGGACGTTGCTCCCACCGAGGAAGATATCAGCCGACAGAAACGAAACGGGCGGGCGGCCAGCTAGGCGAGGAAGCAGCGTTCTTCTTCTTGTCTATCGGCCGAGACGGCGATACCTGTCGACAGAAAAACCGGCTCGGAGTTCAACGAGGTTTGCATTTTCGGAACACGAAGCGCTTAGGGAAGACGTATGCCCAGGCTTTCTGATCCTTCCTCTTCCAGGAGAAAATCCAGTCTGTAGATCTTCCGCCTGACGGACTGTCCACCATGGATCTTGCCATCCGGGAAATCATCCGGTCGACTGGTTACTTGTGTATGGTCCGCCGCTCTAGAGGTCAGAGTTCAAATCACTGCCTCGACCATTGGATTCAAGCATCCGCTCCCTTTCTAGGAGGAAGAATTGGCATCATCGCTGTGGGTGTCCAATAGGATGAGGCTCAACAAATCGGAGATGAATCAAGGAGTCCCATATTTGTGGGAGGGGAATCGCCGGATTTGAGCTTCGTGTTTGAACCTTCCCGTCCTACCGCCTCCAAAGAGGCAGAGGAAGTCTGCCCGTCAGTAGCGCTGTGCCAACACGATCCGTCGGATGCTGTCCTGACATACCGAGCCTAGTAAAATCCTCGAGTCGGATACACCCGGAGATGAACTGACGAACAACGGCGAGGGCGCAGCCACGACGTTGCAATGAAATCGCAATAAATTCGGAGTGGCAGGGAGGGTCGCTCTCTCAGAATGGAATGGAGACAAGTCGTTTAGGAGATCCCGTCGGAACGCGAACGCTGCTGCGCGAGACATATCCGCCGAAGCCGTGTTTGGAGAACATGACAGCGACGTCATTTGGCTGTCAATGCTCTATCGAAGCAAAATATTCCGGTGAAAAGCATGTCCGGGAGCCATTCTGGAGAGATCGGGAGCGGAAACAAACGCTATCGAATAGAGACAGAATTCCCTGCAATTCGACGAATTCTCGCCGCTCGCTTGACCGCTCCGGTATCGAGTTCGAGTCGACGCGGAGAATGTTCTCGCGGAACCAATTTCCGTCGAGCTTCGTGATGAGTCGCGGTCCAGAGAGTTTCTCTAGGCGAACGACTAAGATGGCGACTTGGAACAGGGGATCGGGGACCTGTGCAAGCAGCGCTCGGTAGCAGGTTCGTGACCGAAACCTGACCGGGTCGCGAGTCGAAGGAACCTGATGCTGAATATATCACTTACACGTATACGTATCCGGAAGCCTCCGGAATGATTCCTTCCTGTGGCCTGGTCTGGACAGGAACAAAACTCGCCGACGAAATCACGACCACCGTAGTCCAACTCCACTTGACGTGTCGAATGCCCATTGTTCGCTGTCCAAAGGGTCTAGTCGAGCCGAGTCAAGCGCATTCAGGGCATCGCATTCGGCCCATCCAGCGTCAAATGCAATAGGTATCTCCTACGGTGGTTCCACTTCTTCCATCTATCTGTCTATCCGGCTGGCTGCTTTTGAATTCATAACCCAATTCTTCGTCGTAACCCCAGTGACAAACATGCAAATCAGATTAACATCGAGCCGGTGATCCTTTCTTCGTTTCCCCATGGTCCACCTCAGAGCTGTCAAACACTCTGGAAAACGATTCCCCGAGGGCTGCCAAACATCAGCTGGGAGATCTATCGATACCAGACGGCGATCGGAATCCCATGAACAGAGAAGATGGGAAAGTTTCCGGGAGATCGGATGGTCAGTGAAGCCGCAGCGACGGATCGAAGAATTCAGGGTGGGTCGCGAGATGCTCTCTGAAAAATGGCGCCTCGAACCCCGTCGCAGCGAATTTCCCGCAGAAGAAGCATTCACCCACCTGACTTCGCCGTACGTGGAATATTCGAGCTAACGCTTGCTGCTGACGCTGTTTCTGTGATCGCACCGAGAGCACTTGAAGTTCATTACCGATTGTCTTGCAACACTGAAGCCGCAACACCGTCGATTTTTCGACTCACTCAGATCGACGACAACACCCAGGCCTGCATCAGAATCTGCCGGAGCTGGACCAGAAGGCCCTCTCCATCAAAACAGAAATTCTGTGACGTGCTCCTCTTCAGGGCGGCGGCTGCGAACGCGGGGCGGCGCCATCTGGTGGACGGTATTTACGTCGGAAGCGTCGCGCTAATTTCGAACTGGCGCTCGAAGAAACCTCACGCAATGTCTGCGGGTACCTCTACTTCTGATTCGAGTGTACATCCACGCGTGCGGAGCTTCCCAGAGAGGTTCTTCTTACGCTGCAGCCGTTTCCCTTCTGGCAGATCTGATTCGACCCGAGCTCGAATCCGCTCTTGTGGTCGGGAGATTTCCGCAGCCGAGTGCTCGAGTCATTCGATGACTCGATGGCTACATTTCTAGCTTTGTCACAGAGAGCCATTGGAGAGACACAGTCACGGGGGACATTCATTTCATGGACACGTCTGGACGGACTGCGAGAAAATCGACCGCCGTCAAAGTATTTTTCTGCCTCGATGGAAATGTTGATTCCGGGAGGTCTAATCGTTTTTATTTGGAGAGGATCTTCAGCCCGGAACACGAATGAATAGCTGGAATGAATTTGAAATTGTTTTTATTTCGCAGAGCCGAATTACAGTGATCGAATTCCTTACTTGTTCCTGCATCCAGGACCGAATTATAACCAATTCACGGAGAGTGCAAAGACTAAGCATGAGTAATAAGTCTAGACGTCGAATCGAGCTGTCGTGAATAACTTCCGCGCCTCAAATGCTAGGAAGGTTCGCAGTGATTCGTTACATTGAAAATGGGTAGAACAATCTCGTTCGGGAGGATTTCAACAGCGTCGAATACGAAGATCGGAGAAAGATACGGTCTGTGGATCGGGTGCGCTCCCGAGAGAGAGAGAGAGAGAGAGAGAGCGCCTCCGCACGAAATCAGCAGTGGAGAAGAAGAATAGAGTCAAAGAAATTGATATCTGAATGTCTGTCGATAGCACTTATATTTCTGAGAACGGCCGTACCTAGTAGTCGAATATCCGCGTGCGACAATATCCGACTCGAAGTCAGGTGCATCGTGCGGTGCATGGTCGCGTATCCGATGCGCGAACTCACTGAAACCGCATTAACACTTACCGGGGTTGGTTGCCATTTGAGATCATACAAGCTGAGATCATTTGTATCATACCTACGGGTTCGGTTTCGGAAGAACGCAACTATCTACCATTCAACCTAAGCTTCTGCGGATCTATCGAGTCCTTTGGCATCAGGTCAGGAAACCAACCCATTTGAGCAATCGAAGGACTCTACCCATCCGTTTCAACACTTCTCCTCTCATCCGATAGATTCAATGAATACTAAAAGCTTTTCGCGCTCGCCCGATCGATCGATCGATGGATCGATAGGAAGACCGCTGAATTTGGGAATCGTCGAAACTGATGGGACTATTCGAGATCACTTAACACCACTAACAAACATGATTGGCGTCTATGTTCTTCATTTGTCCTTGAGGTAGTTATAGAAGGTTGAGTAGTTGATCCGACGCTGTTTACAACGATCTTTCCATGGTCTTCAGAAGGTTCCAGGTGAGTTCTCTTTGCCAAGCACTAGAACTCGATGCTGATAACTATTGAACAACAATATATATTTACAGATGAAAAAAACCTCATCCGTGGGGAGTTCTGCTGAAGTTCCCAGGAATTTCTTCGGTTAGTCTATTGCGGAAATTTCCATCTCACAACATGGGGCTAAAACAGAACTTCCCAGTGGAGGAAACCAAATGTACATTCCGGTCGAGATCCCTTTTGCGGTCACGTAGAGCTTTGACGAAAATCCAATCTCAGGCCAAATGGTATTCTACCGCTCCGCAGTCGACCAGATCTAAACTAATTCATGAGCATCCAACCTCTAGCGATTGTACTTCTAGAAGTAAGCCTGCGGTGTACAGGGCCCCTGATAGAAATTTATGTTGAAACCACGACCGTTGAAAGCTTTATCCGATTTGAACATCACCATTAGGGGTCCGGAGTCCTTCACGGTCACCGATTGGCTTTCCCGACTATCCGAGGTCAGGCTGAAGGCGCCTCCACAGAAACGATCCAGTCCTGGAATAGCCAGGTAGTCACCGGTGCACTTCGTAACTCCTGCTTTGGCTGCTGCTTGGAAATCCATGGACTTCCCGTCGGACGTAGCGATACCAAACGCAGGGATTTTACTATTCGCTTGCGGTTCTCGAATGGCTCTCGCTATCGCCTCCGGAGCTCCGTAGGGTGTGGAGTCGTTGGCGTCGGTTAGGAGCTCGGCGTCGTCTTTTTCGCTGCGAACAGAGTATGTGACCGAGCACATGTCTCTCTCTCTTCGGATGCAGATGGCGTAATCCAAGTCATTAAGGTAGCCGAAACGGCTTTCGTTACGTTGGTTGAAATTGAAACTTCGAACGTGGCCCTTGATACCGGTGACGAACTGGAGGCAACCGACCGGTGCCCGGTACTGTGACTCGCAGGGAATCATCGAGATCTTGATGCGCCAATCTCTCGCGTACGGAGCGATGCCGGTGTTCATTTGCAGCACGATCGGTGCATCGATCGTGTCCACGTTGATGTAAATGTGGTGACCGGTGTTCTCGCCGCAGAGCACAGGGATCTTATGGTTGCGATTACTTCCGAGCACGACGAACATGTCGTCCAGACAGTCGCCATCCCGGGGTCCGAGGATGTCGAAACGGACGAAATCCAGACGGATCTGACAGACTTCAGGCTCGACCTGAATTCTCAGAGGACACACGTTGGCGTTTTTCTCCTTGTGCGGATGATGGGGAGGAACGAAGTAGGACACGTTGTGGTTCACCGTCTGCCGGCAGGTGTAGATCGTAGAACAGCAGATTCCTTGACCTTCGGCGCATTCGCCCGCGTTCGTTCCTTCCACATCGCTACATTCTTGCGACGTGTAGCAAGTTCCGGCATGTCCGTCGTCGGTTACACATTCGTCGTTTGCGAAGCGATAGGGAAACAGGTAGGGAAACGGTCTGACGACCGAATAGGAATCTCGACCTCGTCTGATTCTATTACTCGAAGCACCGTCCGAAACCGGGCTGTCCGCGGCATTTCCGGCGCTGGGCACGTCGGTGTTCGAGCTCCGTGTGGGGATAGCTGATGATTGTTGCAGAATAGTACAGAATAATAGGAGGATAGACAGTTGTGTCCCTTGCCGCCCCATGGCGGCCAAGGACATCTAGAAGAACACTAAGCACAGTTGTCGTGATTTGTGACTAGTTGCGCTCACATTGGATCCGTACGGTTCGGGGTAGGATGAATTGGGAGACTCGCACGCTCAGAGCTCCAGACTAGACTGATCGGCTCGTTCGCCAGACGCGGAGGTTCAGCAGCTGACTGCTGCTCGACGATCGGTCTGTCTGTCGCTTCATCCGCTGTCTGGCGATCGTCTCGCAGGGATTCGTCGGTGTGCGACTTTCGGGGGGTGCCTAAAGGTTCTGAGCAAGGTCCGTCCCGAACCTTCTCGAGCCCTTGAACTTCATGGATGACCGAGTATGGCTGATGGTGTGTTCCTGTTTCTCGACAGAAAGGCAAGTTCCTTCCGAGGACTCGTCCCCGTCGACACCCTCTTAAGCGTCTGGAGGGTGTGAGCCTGAGAACTCCGTCTCCGAAGTTTCAGGGATCCTAGGGATGCTCATCGTCGCCGGTATCTCGCTGTACAAAGGCTCGCGACTTCCAGAAGGGATCTTCGAGCGACAATGTATTAGTCTGGAGCGTTTTGCGATCGACGAATCTAGAATTTGGAAATAGCTCGACGATCGTTGGTGACTCCCGGAAAAAGTGGAAATATTCGTTCTCGCGAAAGGAAATCTCCTGAAAACTGTGGAGGTCTCGGACTGGGACTCGAGTCGCGTTCTTGCTGGAAATACTGGCGAAGGTCCAATCATCGTGACCCTGTGTGGAAAAGCGGGTCGTTTGCGCAGCTAGGTTTCAAGAACCTGAAGTTCACCCCTGTGAGCGCGCGCGTTCAGTTTCCTCCTCGCAGTCTCTCTCGCTTTCTTGCAGACCTCTTTCTTTTTCACTCCAGCCCCAACCGCCGCAGTCAACGACCGCCGCCGCCCCCTGTCTGTCGTAGACAACCACGACATCGAGTAAGAAGTTCAAGCACAACGAGACCTATCCCGCGTTATTTGCTCCCCCTCTCTAGACTAAACAGAGCGAGCTACCCAGCTAGCTATCTAGGCATCCACCGAAGCAGCCGACCTACCTAAGAGACTGCTCAGACGGCTGATCCACCAGACTGGCTGGCCGGTCACAGTGGTATCGGTATCGCGTCCGCTCCGCGATCAGACGGATGCCAGACGGACTACTCGGAATTCACAAACAGAAAACATCACTACCTACTACAACTGACTGAGTGGGAGGCGGTAGCAGGAGGAGCTCGGTGGAGGTCTGGTTGGATTTTTGGCGTTCCGATAGCAACACCGGGGGAATCCCTCCGTCCATGCCAATATCGGTCGCCTTTCAAGGGTCGATAGCTATTGGGTTCTTATCGCGACTTCGGGACATTGGGTGTTGGAATCAAAACACCAGAAAACGCAATTCTTTAGGTCGATTCAAGTTTTATAGAGATATCCGTTAAGAGAATGTATGTATTCACTTCTCACTCGTGACGTTTCAGTTAAAAGAGAGATCTGTGCAGGACATGAGGTCAATTTTCCCCCTTGCTCTCCAATGTATGCGCTATGGCCGTGGTCGATTGAGCGACGGCTGCCTTTAGGTGTTGTTGCATCAAGTCCCGGAAGGCGTTGAGGCACAGCTCGCCGATGAGACTCGATCTTCGCCATGCTGCCGAACCTCGGGTGCCCATGTCAGAATCCTTCATGCAAACTTGAGCCTGTTCTCGATCATGCCGTACTAGAAGATCTTGGAGTACGTATACCTAAGGAGTACGTTGTGGACACCTCGAAGCATAAGGTGAATGTCCGACGGCGAATTGCGGGTCACCGCCAGGATCGCAGTGTTCCCGACGAGCGCCCGTCCCGAAGAACCCACGCTTGCGACCTCCGAGATGCTCAGACGCTCGAAGGGAGGTGCCGTCGGAATATAACACTATGTGTCCGTTTGGCCGGCTTCGAAGTCAAATCCGCGGCATTCTTCCCACGACAGCTCCAAGCAGGGTAAAAGTCTAAACGGGGAAAATACAGCGCTCTAAAGACTTGGCGTGAGCATCGCATGGTGAGATCGAAGGGTCAGCTCCTCGGCGGTGCACCGATGGGGGGAATGATCGTTGACCTGAACCAGAACCAAGCCCAGCATTCAAGTCGTCACGCGACGCTCCCTGGATAAGTTGAAGATCGATGTGTGTATACCCGAGTCGGGCCTGGGGCCGCATGAAAAAGCCGGTACGAGTTACAAGCTCAAATTGAACTGTCGGTTGAGACAAGCTCAGACCGTTTCTACAGAAATCGTTCGAGCTCAAGCTACGGCATGCGAAAAATCTCATGGATTGAAGAACATCAGGACTTCTCTGAACTTCAGAATCCGTTCACTGACTGAGATCAGCCTTTCGGTGCGGGGGGTACGTGGCTATACTACTATCAGCTGGCAGCTTACAGTCTTTCAGGTTCCACAGTCTGGTGATGGATGGTTGAAGAATGTAGATACTCATTTGTATTTCGACGACATCCGGGCTCGTCTATATCATCCGTAGCTTTCGGACAGCGGGAGAATATGTCCATTGAGGGATTCGGTCGGAGAGCGTTCGGAGCCGCAGTCTCCAGGAGCTCAGTGATAGAGTCAGAAAAGTCAGGGAGATTGCCAAGAAATCCGACCTCTACGGCTCACAATGAAGCCTGGGCGAGCGTGCCTGCCTGAAATTGCGTGAAAGTTCTACGAATGTATATTCGCGATGAGAGTGGACCCAAAGTCACCTGGGGTTCGCACTCAATCGCCTGACGGGTTTCCCGCCTTTTTTCTCGGAAGGTATATTACGTGGTTCCCCTTCCGCAGAGTCTGCGACCGGATCTCTGATTATTCAAGAATGTATCTTATCATTGTATGCGCAGTTGTCGAGCTTCAATGAATTATCAGCGTTAATGCACGGATCTTTTTCTTCCCTTCTCCCCGATGGAGCTCCTCAGTCGCTAGGGGAAAGAGTGCTTCTCTCTGATAGGAGGTACCGGGCGCGAAAATAAATGTTTCTTGGTTCCGCATCATGTAAACAATCAGACGAGATGTCTTCACCGGAGGCTGGTGCTCAAGTCTCAGCATCTTGACGAGCCTTCGACGTTCCGATTCAGACAGTATTGGAACTTAGAGACGAGAAAAGGCGAAGCGTGCAACAATCCTTTCTCTAGCTCTTTTTTCGCGCAGCTCCTCCTCTCTGGTATTTCATCGTAGTCTCCGTTCGCGAGACGAGTCTTTTCGAGAGGATGATGTCGTTCTATCAAGAAATCTAGACCGTTCCGCGTAATTAAGCGACTCTACGTAGGTACTTAAACGAGTGGTTTTTGTATCGGAGCTGACACATACCCGCTGTCGGCAGCGAAAGGAACACCATGAAAACGACATTCCTCAGTGTTCTCATTGTGCTCGGCGCTGTTTTCGCGCCGGAACGAGTGCAAGCACGGAGCCTTCAGGCCCTCGACGTTGCGAAACCCAGGATTCCAACTCTCCCGGTTGACTTGGACGTACCTTTCTGGAGATCTCTGGACAGCAGCATGGAACTGTGCATGAGAAAGATCCATTTGACACCGATTGAACGCACACGGCTCGTCGGAGAGGCTATGGGTATTTTTCACTCTATGCTAATCTACCGAAAAAGCTTCAAGGAGAGACTCGATCAGGTTGTTGGTCCGCAGCGGGCCAGAACTTTCTGGAAGTGTGATTTCCGGAGCTTCAATGCCGACAAAACGTCAAAAGCCGATTAGGATCGTCCGGGTCTCGAAGCCTGGCCATAGGTTTCGGGGAACGAGGGATCCGTTGATCCTTCTTCAAGTGTCCTCTCGAACAACATTCCGCCTCCCGATAGTGAGTCATCAAGATGAAGGAGCGCTAACCTGATTCCGTTGAGTATCTTGATGCACCTAGATTTTTAGTCGAGTCATGCACTGAATGTGATTCTGGGCTTGGATCGATTCGACAACAAACTGAAGAAAATAAAATGAAAAGCATGCGAACGGGTTACAAGTCAATCTCTCAGCTGTGCTCTTCAGGACTTCATACGTAAAATGTATCCGCAGGATTTCTGCGACACTTGATGGCTGCGGAAGAAACTTATCTGAATATCGTAGTCTCGGCAACTCCGCGTGTCACGGGGAATTCTAGGGCAGAACACCCGCTCTGGAGACATATCCGCATCATCATCGACTCGAGTTTCGGGGAAGCGCAAAATGTCTTCCTCGGCCCCCCAAATAAAAGTGTTAGAAAAGTTTAGACTGGTTTTTCTCCAGAATCATCCGCACAGATTGCGTCACGCAAAATTTAACACCGTAGCTCCGAGTTCAAACGCCGCAACTACGCTATTTCAGAACTTCTCTCGGGAGGAAGTTCTAAAGGCGATCAAATTCCTCTTTTCGGGATGAGGAGCGCATTGAATCTTTTGAATATCATTTATTATAGCGTTTCGAACGAATCATTCATTATATTTGACGCTCAAGATTTGCGGATGGCGAAGTGTTTCCTGTCGATAAATGTGGGGCGGAAAGGCTCGAGAGAAGACGCTTTCCTGAATCAGCGGGGAATCTATCTCATTTGCGGTGAAAAAGCTCCGTTTCTCAGCATATATTTTTTTTGGAAGAACTACCTCGCACTCCGAGCTATTGTCGGAGGCGTTCCTGTTGCCGGAAGCAGGGAGGAACTCCGGGACAACTCGGGTTGGAAACTGAAAAGTTTGAAAGGACTGACATTCGCCTATTGCGGCTGACACAACTCTCTATATGGAGAGAATTTCTGATTTGGAAAGAATGTTTCGAGACACTTTACGAGTCTTGTCTCCAAAAACACCAAGAACACATTTGCGGACTGCTGAGACATTTCTTCGTTCTCCGCCCGCCATTGAAGAATGTTGTCACCACTGACAATTATCGTCGAACGCTTCAAACTTGGGATGATTCGGAACAGCGGATTCTGATCGATATCTTACCCTAGTCTGCGTTGAGGAAAGCACCTCCTATTGGAAACCAGTTTCTGTACCACGACGTACTTGTCTCCAAAGGGGGA